GAAAACCGACAAACTAAATAACACAAGCACAAGCGGTTGCATTTAACTTAGGAAAATATTCTACCCGAGTCCAATTATCACTAAGCCGTCAATAATTAACCCAGTTGCTACTGAATATTAGAATAATTTGTAGCACAACATTATCTAATATAGCAAATAATTGTATCAAGTAAATAACTAGTAGGTCTCGCTAGCAATTAAATGATACAACTATTCAAATAACTTAGAAGAATATTTAATACCCAAATGCATAAAAATTATATAATAAAAATAAATAAATAATCTTACAGCATAATCAATTCAGGGGCTTCAATTCACTAAACCAAGCTAAAGAAATTAGCAATAAATGGACATTGATAACAGCTTTACAGAATAATCGAGAGGGGAAGAATGAACTTTTTACAATAGAAAAACTTCTACTATTTATATACTTCCTAAATTAACTAAAGCTATTTTGTACCACTCATTTCTATTGTTTCTTCCGCGAATGCCGCTCAGCACTAGAATCGGTCGATGAAGATTTCTGCTTCCGCGTCATACGTTCTGTAGTTAAGAAATTAAAACACAAATATTTAATTAGCTTTGTTTTCTTGCTAAGAGTTTGGTCCACACTAAATTACTAATGCATAAATTATATTAAATAAAAAGAAAAAGTTTGTTGGACTAAAAAAACATTATTAACTAAATAAAACACTTATTTAGCCTATTAATTATTAAACTTTAAAAAGAAATAATTATTATATAATACTAAATAAGAAATGCGAAAATATTATAAAGATGTACCTAAAATATGAGTGTAAAATATGTCTATCACAAGGATCAGACTCAAGACATGCCATAGACTCGCCACAACAAGACATATAGAAATCTTAGCATGCAACTACGACCACATGACGGGACAACAATAAGACTCAACAATAGAAAACAAGAACACATAACCAGACATGTCCATGTTCCAACCTTATACCAAGTTCCAACCTTTACAACTCTCCAACCTTATAACAGTTCCAACCTGTACCTCCAGGCCACCCTACACACCACATCCTTACCCCTCCGGGGCAACGCATGCCCCCCGCCTACAAGACCTCCTACATAACCACTGATCTCATAGCATCCGTGATGCCTTTAAGTCACACACCGGTACCGCAGTACCATCACACACAAGCACACATAGTGCATCAACCACCAATCACAGTTCTTACCACCAATCTCATATCTTTTCTTTTCATCATGGACATCAACACACAAGCAAGACTCAACAGTCACTCCACAAGGGGATAATTGGGAAGGGGCGTATCATGCACATTGACTCTCAACAACAAGTGCCCTTACGGCGCCACAAACACACGAAGACCATCATAGACCATATTCTAGCACCACATGTTACAAGTATAGACCACATGCAAAGACACGACTCGCAATTCACATTACGACACACAAGAACATCAAGAATAACAAGAATCCATATCATAAATCCTAAAGACAAGCTCTATCAAGGCATAACCACAAATTCACGCATACAATCATTCAAAGGAGCCAATTAATAAAAGATAGCAAGGAAAATAGGTTTTGTAGGATGGGTTACCTGGTTGCTTTAATTAAAATTCTTATAACTTCTAGGATCTTTCCTCAAGGAATTCTTCCTATCAATCTTTCCTAGGCTTGGTGGTGGGGATTCTTTGTCTGAACTCTTGGGAGGGGATTTTTGAGTAATGAGGGGGAGAAGGAGGTGGGATGGAAAAGGTTCTAAAGGCTTTATAATCAGAGTCTAATCAGTAATGGGCCTTCTTTCATTATTCTAACAGGCTTGGGGCTTTAATATGGGTAAGGGTCCACGATCCTCTGTGGACCATCTTAATAAACTAAGGGATCCTAACTGAATTAAGTTCTTTTAACTAATCTTTAATGGATTTAATTAAATAATTATTCCGAGCTTAAAGGGCGTAACACGGGGTGTTACACTCTGCTTCACTTTTACCCAGTTTAAGTGTGTATGCTGCAACAGAAAACCTTCCCGCAGATACGTGCAGTACCCACACGAGACAGTTAACTCAATTGAACGAAAAATCCTAGTATGAACGAAAAAAACGATAGACCTGATGTTGAAGTCCTGGCTTCGCCGAATCTCACTGCCGCTGCTCTCGCCTCACAAATGGTTGTTGCCGGTGAGAACATATGTTGAAAAAAAAGGGTTGTAGAAAGAAAAATATAGATCTAAAAGAGAAGAAGAAGCTTGAGAGAAAGGAGGAAATCAGATCTGGGTGATTAGCACCAGGATGGGACCACCCAGGTTGGATCTTAGCGTTGTACCCTAAGCACGCTTAATCACAGAGTTCTTTGGCTATCTGGTTGTCATATCCTACTTATAACCAATTAGTAATAAGTAGGTGAACATTAACCATTTAAGCACATCCCTCCATAGTAAGCCACAACGCCACATCTCAACAGTAGCAGGTTTGGCAGCACTATCTCCGTTGTCAGCGGTGGCTGAAGCGTTGTGTTTGGTAGTGGCGGTGGAGCGTGGCAGGGGCGTCGTAACTAGCGGGTTCGTGGAGAAGGAGCCGATCTTTGGAGAAGAGCGGCACGGAGAAGTGGTAGACATGATCGGATCGCTAGGTTTTTATTTAAATTTCCATGACGGTTCCAATAGGAACGTTTGCGAAAATTTTATTATTATTTTAATATACAGTTTTCGCGACCCTTCTAAGAGGCACGGTCGCGGAAAGTAATTAATTATTTATTTATTTTTTAAATGTGGGTAGTTTTCGCGACTACTCTGTGAAGGAACAGTCACGGAAAACCAATTGCGTTTTTTTTAGACTACAACCATTTTATTTAGAAATACTATTGCAAAAGATGAAGAAGAACTCTAGGCTTTTTATAATTGTTTAAGTGATGATTTTGGAGATTAAATTAGGCCCAAATGAGCCCTATTATTTTCAGCCATCATTAGAAATGATTCCTTAAATCCCTTTCTAAATAGGATTATGTTTACTTGCTTTGTAGATTAGGTTTATGACATTTTTTTCCATTATATTTAGGACTACAATGTCGCTCCTCTACATATAAAAAAGGCATGGTCATATATAGCAACTTTGAGATGGTTTTTCTTTCAATAGATCTTTAAGTCTTTTTTACTATACACTTGTGTAAGAATCCTTATTACTAATTGGGGACTCAATTATTGGCTAGCTTGTGCACTTGGCTAGCAATTGATTTGTGGACTCGTATCAATCTTTCTCTCTTCAACCTTACATTTTGGCTTGTGCACTCGTTCTTGAATTGAAGGAAACTAGATCTGACTCTAGTTGATTGAAAATTGCATCATAAAAGTACTTTAATCTACAATGAGATTCTTCCTAAGTGTTTGAGGATTCGGGACTAAGGGTGGTTTCACGTGAGGTCTAAGATATTTTGATCCATCATCATCCCCATTGACAGGTATATTGGGATGATAATATATTTTATTTGAACCTAGAACTAGGTTCATATCACAATACAAACAAGGGAATTCTTGATCACTGTCTTCAAGTTTATGATTTCCCTCACTAAGAAAGAAGAGCAATCAAACCATAACTTTAATTTGAGACAGGAGAAGATGTCAACTTTCGCAAGTTGCTTTTATAAAAATTCATCAAGGGAGTAACTTGAGATTTTTTTTAATATAAAAATTCTTTAAAAACTTTGCAGTAGCTTAGTCAAGAATCGTATATCCTAGCGAAATATGAAAAGTATATATATATATATATATATATATATATATATATATATATATATATATATATATATCTATATATATATACCTATATATATATATCTATATAGGGTTGAGTTCAAATGAGGACATCAATATATAGAGGACTGTGAGGACAAATAATGGGCACACAACAAATTAATACCAGGCACACAACTTAATACATAATGGCACACAAGAATAAATGTAAACATCAGGTTTCGAACTCGGGCTCTATAAATTAGCAAATCTAGCACGCGACATACAAACTGTGGCACACGACTACATTCGGCCATGCACACAACATACCGGCTAATGGCACACACTGCATTTGTCCTCACAGTCCTCTATAATATACTTGTCCTCATTTGAATACAAATCTATATATATATATATATATATATATATATATATATATATATATATATATATATATATATAGAATTGCACTCACATGCGAATGCTTCGCCCAGGAGCGAAATAGGAATGCATTCTGTCCGTCCACGTGTACAGATATAATGGATGAAAAACACTGATTTTTTAAAAAAGCGCGGTGGCATTTTCGTAAATAATTGAACATCGAAGTGCAAGTAAAATGTATTATAAGTGCATGTAAAATGTATTATAGGTGTAAGTAAAAATTTACACTAAACATCAATACTAAGTGCACTTATAAGTAGTTGCACCTATAGTTATTAGTAGTTGCACCTATAGTTCTAAGTAGTTGCACACATAGTTATAAGTAGTTGCACCTAGGTGCATGAATGTTTGCGGGTGGTCTTCAGGGGTATTACTACCCGCTGAACTCAGATCAATGAATGTTATAAATAGTTGCACCTATAGTTATAAATAGTTGCACCTATAGTTATAAATAGTTGCACCTATAGTTATAAGCACACCCAAGTGCATGAATGTTTGCCGGAAGTGAATGCTAAAAAGGCAAAATTACATGCACTTATATTTGAAAGTAGGTGCACTTGTAAGTGATTTTACTTGTACTTTGATGTTTAATTATTTACGAAAATGTCACCGCGTTTTTTTAAGCTATTAGATCTGGACACGTGTCGCGCGTTGATTCGTTCGCATATTCCTTCCTGGGCACTTATTCGCACCTGAGTGCATCCCTATATATAGGAAGGGATCGGGTGCATTTGAGGCTTCCCGTGCGGTTGTGCGGGTAGACGCACATTAAGTATTAATCTAACGCACGTAAAGTACACAACACACGCACATTAAGCTGGCCAGTTTACAGAAGTGTGCTTTCTTCATGCATCCTCGTACTCCTGATAGAGTGCTGCAGCGAGTACGCAGGGCGACCCGTTGTATCCGCCGCTCCTTCCCCTTTACATATCTTGGTTGTCCTGTGTACGTGGGGCGGAATAAGTGCATCTACTTTAGCCCTACAGTTGATAAGGTGAAGGCCAAGTGTTTGAGTTGGGAACGACGAGTCCTGTCGAAAGGCGGGAAGGCCACTCTGATTACATCTGTGCTTCAGGCGATACCTTTGCACCTTTTTGCCGCCTGCGCCCCGCCAAAGCAGGTGATCCGGGACCTTGAGCGTTGCTTTGCTAGTTTCTTCTGGAGACAGTCTGGTAGGTCCGGGTATCACTATAGTTCGTGGAAGAATCTCGTTCTCCCCAAAAAGGAGGGCGGGGTTGGTTTTTTGGATTTGGACCTGATGGTGCGTGCTGCTAGTGCGAAGGTGTGGTGGACTTTCCGCACTGAGCATACGCTGTGGACAGACTTTATGCGGGCAAAGTATTTTAGTCGGGTTCACCCGGTTGCAAAACTTGTCCAGACCTCTAACTCTCATACCTAGAAGCGGATGTTGGCTGTTCGTGATGAGGCTGAGCGAGCTATAGGCTGGCGGTTGTTCCAAGGCCGGGTTAATTTCTGGTGGGACAATTGGTCGGGTCTTGGTCCGCTTGGCAGACTTTATCCTTTCCCGGGAGTTTCCTACTCCCGTGAGCCGCTTCTGGATTACGTTACTGATGGCGCCCTGGACTTATTTGATCATGCTGACTTGGCTCTGGCCGGGCTACAGCCGGACTTGTCCCGTCTCGGATAGGGGCCGCGAGATATTCCTATTTGGCGCCCGGCATCTGATGGTATGTTTTCATTTGCTACAGCGAAATCCTTTTTGCGACCTGCTAGGCTTGTTGACCCGGATCCCTTCCTTGCTAAGTGTTGGCATAAGCACCTCCCTTTCAAGGTGTCCTTCCTGGCTTGGAGGGTGTTTCGGGGTCGCCTGCCTACTGACGACGTCCTATCTCGTTTCGGCTATGTGGTTGTTCGAGATGTTGGTGCTGTCCGGCTCCTGCTTTTGATTCCATTGCACATATTTTTTACTCAGGAGATACAGCTCGCGTTGTATGGCATCGTATGTTTGCGTTCCTCGGCCTCCAGTCACGACATAGAAGTCTACGGACTTTAATCGCTAGCTGGGGGCGGAGTGGTACGCATAACCCTCTTCGCTCTTTTGTTCTTTGCAGGTTGCCATATCTGGTTCTTTGGGAGCTATGGAAACACCGCAATGGGTGCTTACACGGTCGGGATACCCCAAGTGTTGTGCGAGTTATGCTTGGGGTAGCTCGGGGCGTGGTTGAGTGCCTGTTCAGGCGGTGGCTGGGTCAGCATATCCTCCCGCCTACTTGGCGGATGATTGTGTCTTATCTGGAGGCACATGTGCCTCGCCGAGTGATCCGTGCTGTTCGTTGGTCCCCCCTTCTTATGGTTTTCTCATGATTAATCTTGCTCTTTCGGCTTCAGAAGGGGGGGCGGCTGCCTTGGTCCACAACCAGGGTGGCGGGTTTTGCTACGGCGTTGCCTGGTCTAGGCTGGGGAAGTCTATCCGGGGTATTTTTCGGGTTCTCTTCTCTTGTCTGACTTGGTGCCTGGACGGAGGCCATCGGGCTCTTGTGGTGGAGACCTCTGTCCGCGACCTGGAGGCTTACTTTGATGCCTCAGCCACCACACCTTGGTATATGGATGATGTGGTCTCTAGACTGCGTTTCCTCTGTTCCTGCGGCTCTATCATCTTCATGCTTTGCTCTTCCCGGGCGAATCTCCCGACTCAGGCTCTTGCAGATTGGGTCCTCGATAAACCTGGGGAGACTACCTTTGCTACAGTTGCTGCCTTACCACCTAGGGTGCACGCTCTCCTCATCCATGATGACGTGCCCTACGTTTTCTTCGACTTTGCGGATTCGCCTTGTGGGCGGTGCTTGCTTGCTTCTTTACTTTACCTTTTATTTTTATTTTCTTTTTTTATTTTATTTTTATTTTATTTTATTTTACTGTGACTAGTTTTCTCTTGTTGTATGGCTTTGTTTGCATGAGGCGTTAGGGGCTTCTGGTATTGGGGGTTTCTCTCTCTGCTTTGTGTTCTCTTTGCCTGTCCTGGTTCTGCGTGTTGCTGTGTGGTTTGCCGGATTTGATTCGTGTGTTTCATGCATAGCATACACTCTGAGGTGGGAGTGCTCCTTTAGTCTTGGTTGTATATATCTGCTTAATATGGTGCTTGGTGAATCATGGCTGGCTGTTTCTATAAGGGGTTGGGAGGGTGTGAGGTGGGCTTCTGGTGCTTAGCACATATGCTATTGCTTTTGTGGATGGCTATATAAGTTCCCCGGGTAAAATAGAGTACGCTGTACCGAGGGAGCTGGCCTGATGCTTGAGGGTGGTATATGTGTTGGCACCAGTGGTTAGGGAGCCATCGCTTGGGACTTTGGGCCGTTGAAGCCCTCTGTGATAAAATGCAGAGCTCTGTACGTACGGGGGTGGCCTGGGTTCCAAGGGTGGGTGGAGGTGAGTACCATTGCTCATGTGGCGGACTATTCATGGTCCCCCCGGATAAAAATGCAGAGATCTGTACCGGAGGGGATCTGTCCAACGCATGAGGGTGGTTTGGGTTGACGGCTGACTTCATTGCTCCTGTGGATGGTCATATAGGTTCCCTCGGATAAAAATGCAGAGCTCTATACCGCGGGGAACCGACCTGACGCTTTAGGGTGGAGTTGGTTCGTCATGGCTTTTGGAGCATCGTTCCCACCCTTTGTGTAGTGCATGATACCCAGGAATCGTCCAGCTTTCATACGGTTACAGGTGGTTTGTAGTATGGGTATTGGGCCCACTTTGTCGTTTAGAGCTTATCTCTTTTACTTGTTCGCCTTTTGGCCACCTTACTTTATTTCTTTCTTTGTAGCCTTGGTCACTTTTGGGCCTTGGCAAGACTTTCGTTTTGGTTATAATAATAATAAGACATCTTTTTCAAAAAAAAAAGTTATTGAATGTCTTGAATGTGATATTAAAGAAAAATTTTGATACCAAATGGCTTGTGGTCCATTGGTATTCGGTTGACCCATTATGTAAGATGTTTTAGGTTCGAGCCTCGGTGTAGGCGTAGATAGTATATGTGGGTATCCCCCCCAAAAAATGAACAATTCTAATATGCAAGCAACTTTTCATATGTCAAAGACATTTAAAATTCAATGTGGTTAATAATTTGAATATTTGAATTTCCTAAGACATTTAAAACTCATTGTGATTAATCCAGCCGTCCACAATAAATCTGGCGGGAAAATGACATGGCAAAAACATTTTGCAATTATATAGAGTAAGATAAGATTGGGAAAATAACATGGCAAAAACATTTTGCTATTATATAGAGTAAGATAAGATTGCACTCTGGTGCGAATATGCGAATGCCTAATATCCGTCCACGTGTCCAGATCTAATAGATGAGAAACACTGATTTTAAAAAAAAACCGTGGTGGCATTTTCTTAAATAATTGAACATCGATGTGCATGTAAAATGTATTACAAGTGCATGTAAAATGTATTATAGGTGCAAGTAAAATTTACACTGAACATCAATACGAAGTGCACCAATAGTTATAAGTAGTTGCACCTAGGCGCATGAATGTTTGCGGGTGGTTTTCACGAGTACTATTACCCGCTGAACTCTCCGCAAGAACAAAAAACGAGGCCAAACAGAACGAACTCAAATCAATGAATGTTAACAAAGCAAAATTACATGCACTTGCAGATGAAAGTAGGTGCACTTGTAGGTGAAAGTAGGTGCACCCGATCAATGAATGCAGGGAAAAACTACATGCACTTGCAGGCGAAAGTAGGTGCACTTGTACGTGAAAGTAGGTGCACCCGATCAATGAATGCTAACACGCGGCGCACGCTGATTGGTTCACATTTCTCTCCTAGGCACCTATTCGCACTTGAACGCGACAATATATATATATATATATATATATATATATATATATATATATATATATATATATATATATATATATATATATATATATATATATATATATATATATATATATATATACATATATATATATATATATATATATAGACTTGCACTCGGGTGCGAACGACTCACCCAGGCGCGAAATAGGAATGGATTCTGTTCGTCCACGTGTCCAGATCTAATGGATGAGAAACACTGATTTTTAAAAAAATCGCGGTGACATTTTCATAAATAATTGAACATCGAGGTGCAAGTAAAATGTATTACAAGTGCATGCAAAATGTATTATAGGTGCAAGTAAAAATTTACACTGAGCATCAATACTTAGTTGCACTTATAGTTCTAAGTAGTTGCACACATAGGTATAAGTAGTTGCACACATAGGTATAAGTAGTTGCATCTAGGTGTATGAATGTTTGCGAGTGGTTTTCAGGAGTATTACTACCTGCGAACTCAGATCAATGAATGTTAACAAGGCAAAATTACATGCACTTATAGGTGAAAGTAGGTGCACAGATAGTTATAAGTAGTTGCACCTATAGTTATAAATAGTTGCACAGATAGTTATAAGCACAATTACATGCACATATGAATGGTTGCGGAAAGTGAATGCTAATAAGGCAAAATTACATGCACTAATAGGTGAAAATAGGTGCACTTATAAGAGATTTTACTTGCACTTCGATGTTCAATTATTTACGAAAATGCCACCGCGTTTTTTTTTAAGTTATTAGATCTGGACACGTGTCGCGCGCTGATTCGTTCGCATTTCCTTCCTGGGCACTTATTCGCACCTGAGTGCGTCCCTATATATATATATATATATATATATATATATATATATATATATATAGATGTGTATTCAAATGAGGACAAGTATATTATAGAGGACTGTGAGGACAGATGTAGTGTATGCCATTAGCCTGTAAGTCGTGTGCATGGCCGAATGAAGTCGTGTGCCACAATTTGTATGTCGCGCACTAGATTTGTTAATTTATAGAGCCTGGGTTCGAAACCTGATGTTTACATTTACTCTTGTGTGCCATTATGTATTAAGTTGTGTGCCTGGTATTAATTTGTTGTGTGCCCATTATTAGTCCTCACAGTCCTTTATATATTGTTGTCCTCATTTGAACTCAACCCTCCCTATTTATATATATATATATATATATATATATATATATATATATATATATATATATATATATATATATATATATATATATGATCAAAAAAGTTCAAATGCGGCGATGTCTTTAGGTGCGGCGGTGCGGCGAAAATTTAGAATACGCCAACAGTGTTAACAACATGCACCAACAGTGTAAGGGAAACACACCACAATGAAATGCAAAAGAACACCAAAAAATACACAACAGACCCAAAAAAATACACTATATAACTCACCACACCCTAATGGTGTATTTCCGAACACTGTATGGTGTTTTTACTGACACCTAATGGTGTGTTTTTGGTGATACATACCTAATTTGTGTGTGTGTTTGTGGTGCATTTTCCTAACATTGATGGTGTATATTTGTTGAACT